GACGAACACTGACTCATACATGCATTATTATATCAAATAACGCCGTTCCACCTACTAATGGAATTTGTTCGCTTCCGTATTTTATACATTCCACTACTTTTTAACAGAAACAAGTGGAATGAACCAATCTTCCTTCCAAGTCACCTCATTGCAACGAAGCGACACAAAATGACGCCAAAATCAACCGAATATATAACAAAATTTTGTCAAACTTATTCCACTGCTTAAATCTTATACCACCTTCTAAGCAGAATCAGTGAGGCAGAGCCAGTTTAATATTGTCTCCTTAGTAATCAACATCCAGTAAAACTACGTGTGTTATAAACTAAGATGATAAGCATGTGTCTTCAAGTTAACATCATTGCACCATTGTATCACTTGCGTCTAAATGTATCATAACTTAGCAAGCACAACAAAGAGAAATTGCTACAGAACGAACTTTTATTTTTTTTTTGAACAGATTCAAAAGTAACCTGTAAGCTACTTAAAGGAAGACCCGTATGAAGAGTTTTAAAGAAAAGAAGTCGCCTCGATTGAACAGAAGAAAATGAGCAAGAAAAAAAGCAAAATAAACAGAAAAAAAAAAGAAAAGAAAACAACCTTCCCGTTTCTGTTTGACTAGGACGCAACAATTATAAAACTCTAGAAATATGTGTGCGGCCGAGACTAATTCAGGCGCCTTTTTTTGATTCCAAAATAACACACATACTCATCTTCTGAACTAGAGTCATCAGTTGAGGACACTTCAATATCTGGTACGGTGACAGAAGCTGTAACTGACTGTTGATATGCCAGCAGATGACAGATTGGTATTGGGCTGCTCAACGGTTCGTCTTCTGCATCTACAGAAAATTGTGACAAGTCAACAAATGATTCATTGATTAAAAATCGTTCGCCACTATCCGTTTGCTCAAATTCCGGAGTTGCGGATGTCCCAGGAATATTTTCAATGATCAAAGAATCAGTGGAATATCTTAGATTCGTTTGTTCGCCAAATTCTAATGTATTCCACAGAATTGAACAGATCTGAAAGAATAATTTTCTTTATCATTTAACTGTTGTACTATGTTGGCTTTAAACAACCACTTATCAATGCTTTGTCGCAGTTTTCGTCTTCGAAAAAAAATTATTTCTTTTTCCAATTTATATCTCTTTGCATACAAATTTACAACGAAAACTCTAGCCAGTCCGGCTAACGTAAAACACTAAATAAACTGGTGCCAAAGTAAAGCCACAAATATCAAAGTAAAACAGAAAGAGGCAGACCACTTTGAGACCGTTCATAGCCGCAAAGTCAAAAGCACATCTTCCAGTAATCGCATATTCGACAGGCGTTGGCAATGAAGTACCACTAAGTCTAACAGCACATTCCCTAAAGGTATGTTAGACCAAAATCAATACTTCTACGACTATGAAATGCAGAAACATAAAAATTAAAAAAAA